CATGCCCTGGCCTTCTAATTTGATCCACCCACCAAAGATGGGAATCCCAAGGGCTCTGCAGCTGGTCACTGTGACTTAATGCCACCTTATTTCATGTTACGGAATTGTGTGGTATATGTCTTTAATTGCCCAGTCTGTTTATACCCACTTGTCCCTTGGCCTCAGACACTGTGTCTGCCTTGAAGGAGACTTTGTCACAAACAGGCTTTTAGATGCCATTCTCCTGGACCATTGTTCTAATGCATATCTACTTTATCTACAAGCCAATTCCTAAAAGCAAATTTCTAAATATAATTTTCTAGCCATCACCTGCCACATATCAAATATCCTTAAGTCAGATCACCTTTCTTCTCAGACTTGCAGCCAGGACTACTCCTGCACTTTGATGAGCAAATGACAGGAAGAACCTCAACCCTTCGTCTCAAGGAGCGTTGTAGGGAGAATGAAGGAACCTTTCGAGTTTGGTGTGTTTACTGATGATGGCTGGAGAAAAGCTTTAGAAATTAATACCAGCCTGAGGAGAGTGACTGCTGCCAAGTTTTTCACCACTCTGGAAAAATGGGTGTTGGCAAATTGTCCTTCCTCATGGGAGTTAACAACTTTGCCTTTTTAATACATTTTTAAACAGGTGCTATTTCAGATGACTGTCTTTTGGCATGTATTCAACCATGCAGAATTCATTAGGATGCTGAAACAGTTCATGAACTGGCATCAGAGGTGTAGACAGGCAGTTTTTATCTCCTGCGGCACTATAGAACAACCACCTGGTTGAAGGCCTGTATATATTTTGCAGGTGGGTTGCAACTGAAAAAAATACTTTTTTACAATTTCTACGAAGAACACTCCTGTATTTGATGGACATGCCTTTATGGCAGCCTGGAAACTTGCTGTGAGCACTCTAGCCTGCACAACACTGGCACAACCTTATGATAAACAGAAGGATGTAAATGTGCAGCACATAAAGCCCTTGAGCTCACTCAGTAACAATGGCTCCAACAAGCTAATGTACCACTGAGAAACAGTTTGTATTTCTGGTACCTTCTACTAACACAACTCCCCAAAACACCTATGGAAGGGCAGGCTAATTTTATAAACTTCAGTGAAAATTTTAAGAATATTTGTTCTATAAAAAGAAAGGCTGTATGGAATAGCTGTTATCTTTTGCTAGGCTCTGTGTGGTGGCGGGTGAGGTCATAAAGTCAAACTTCATATTGGGATTCAAGCCTTTTTGAATTCTCAGCGGGGCAGAGGCTGATGGAGCTGTTTAGAAGAGGATATGGTCTCAGTGGAATTAGATGCATGTACAGCCAAGCTAAAATAATTTAATTCTTGAATATAAGTTATTATTGGTCTAATGGGAAGAACAACATATTATCTCTGTCATTTATCTTATCTATATCATCATATGCTTTAATTCTCTGAAGATAAGTATATGAATATCTTCACTTTGGTTTCATTAAATCAGCTGGTTATTGCTTTTGAACTGATGGCAGTAGGTTATTCATTTATAAACCAGCTAATTGATTTACTTGAAGATAGAAACTCTGCCTGCTATTTCTGTTTCCATGCAACCTGTCATTTTAAATAGTCACCAAAAACTGAGGGAGCAAGAGAAATACCCAATTTTAGGTGCTGGATGGTAAAGTCAATAAGAAATTGCATATACATAACAGAACAACATTGGTTCTTTCACCCACTAGTGAATTTATAGCATTATTTATAGCTGATTCTCTATAATTTCCCCTTAACCCTTTGTACTTATCATGCCTTGGGACATTCCCCTTTGATATACAACACCAGCCCCATGGTGGCATATAACACAGTAAGTTCAGCAAACTGGAATGCTGAATACTTCTTTCAGTGCCATGATCACTGAAAACCTCTGGGTGGATCAAGGAAGGGAGTAGCTCTCTCTGCTTGTTGGATTTATGGAGCTAGCTAGCCCCTCACCCTAAAGACACGAGAAGGAAAAGAGGCACAGGGTAAGCAAGGAAGAACATCAAAGGATAAGGAAAGAAATCAAAGGAGGAAATAGAAGATGCAAATTAAAGTTGAGTTAATCTTCTAGTTCAGGCTTGGTGTAGGTCAGAGCTGTTCCCTAAGCAGCCTAGGGCCAAACACCCTCGGGACTACTCGAATGGGGGCATCACTAGTGGAAACTGTACAAAGGCGAGCCACTGGCTCCCTGAATTGCACTGTGTGCTGGCACCATCCCACAACTACCACTGAACCATATGCCTGTATAGCTCCAGCCTCCCCCCCTGCTTCTTGTGCTGAGCTCACCTCCTAGGGTGGGGAGAGCAAGCATAAGCTGCAGGACAGAGTGTGTGCTTGGAGACTCTAGCTGCTATTACATCTAGAGCGATGAGGAAAGTGGCCTGCAGGCAGGAGCTGAGGGACAACCATTTGACCCCGCATGGGCTGCATGTGGCCTGAGGACCACCAGTTGGACAGCCCTAGTTTAGGTGATGGTTAGATCCATTAGTCTATGAATCATCGTGATATTAAGATATTATGAATCATCCCAGGTCTCTCTTCTGCCAGCACAGGAAACTTTACTCCTGTGTTTCAGGTTCACCCCATTTCCCTGTTGATTTAATGCCTCTTCATGCTGATAGTGAGAAGACACATTAAGCTGTTAAATCCATGCTTTAAAAAAAAAAAAAAGCAATTGAGATAAAGTTCTCTCACTGTGGAATATGGCTCCCAATTACAGTAACAGTGGCCAGTGTGCTAAATGGTACATCATTTCAGAATTGCTTTGGACTGCTAAATCAGCTTTTACTTATTAAGTCTATGTTATGGAAATAGCTTTTTCCCCCTCTTGCTAATTTAGGTTATATTATTTAGTCTTGTTCCTTTTTTAAGGATTCACTAGTTGCTGCAGGGACTAGTGAGTGAAATGTAACTTCTTCTTTCATCTAGTAATCTTGCTGGTTTCAGGAGCTGCTGTTATTTTGACAGCAGACCTAGGCATATTTACACATTTTTTGTGCTAAGCTAGATATTGAGATGTTACCATATGGCTGACAAATCCCACCCCCACCCACAGGAATTCCAGTTTGTACTTCTCTTTGAGGCAGCTGCATCTACTTTCTCACCTCCATGTCTTTATATCCACTGGAATAATTGCTGGCAGTTTACACAAAGGAATACATGCCTACAGATTCCAGTGTTGTGCAGTAATAGTACCTGATTCTGATCTCAGTTCTAATGGCGATGATCAGGAATAGCTGGACTAACCTTAGTGTCTTCACATGGGTAGGCAGACAAGATTCTTTGGGTGAATCTGATATCTTTTATTAGACCAACTTAAGTAGTTGGAAAAACAATTATTAAGCAAGCTTTTGGGTTCAAAAACCCTTCATCAGGCTAAGGAAGTTTCAGCAGTTGATGTGTGCTCTTCCTGGATGGAATGAAAAGTAAAGAACCTAGAGGCTGATCTGGTACACATACAAGACAGGTAGTCAGTGAAAATGTAGATTGAGGAGTCAATGGGTGAGAGACAGGCTGGGGAAGGGGGGGAAAAGAGAGAGAGCCACCCATCCTAGCCTTCAAACAAGCACCGAACCTCGCCAACCTCATCACCAGAAGCAAACTTCCTCAAGCCCAGAACACACCAAAAGGATCCAGACCGTGCCATGACAAGAAATGCAAAACCTGACAACACATCTCCACAACAAATCACCCCACAACAGAGCCATCAGCATTCCTGGATCTTACAGCTGCACCTCCAGAAATGTAATATATCTCATCCAATGCACCAAATGCCCAGATGGAAAATACGTAGGACAGACCAAACAACAACTGCTCACCAGAATGAATGCACACCAGAAATCTATCGAAGACAGGAACACCCAATTACTGGTGAGGGCACATTTCTCACAAGAAAACCACTCTCTCTCCAATCTCTCAGTCCTGATCCTCAAAGGAAACTTACAAAACACTTCCCAGAGACGAGCCTATGAGCTCCACTTCATCAACCTCCTGGATACTAAAAATCATGGACTAAATATAGACATTGGATTTATGACACATTATAACCTGCCTGACATCTGACTCCCCAGGTATCTCTCCACTTTCATCCCCCTTCTCGCTCTTCCCTTCCCCCTCCCCAGCCTCTCTCTCACCCATTGACTCCTCAATCTACATCTTCACTGACTGCCTATCTTGTATGCATACCAGCCCAGCCACTGCCTTCTTTACTTTTCATTCCATCCAGGAGGAGCACACACCAACTGCTGAAACTTCCTTAGCCTGATGAAGGGTTTTTGAACCTGAAAGCTTGCTTAATAATTGTTTTTCCAACTATTTAAGTTGGTCTAATGAAAGATATCAGATTCACCCAAATAACCTTTTCTGCCTATGTCCTTAGACCAACATGAATACAACCTACACCCCTTCACATGGATAGGTGTGTTTAATCAGCTTCAAGCCCACAGAGTATAAGTCAGCCAGACCTCTTTTAGTGTTCTCCCTATTTGAACCCATGTTTTAGGAAACAGTTCGCTGTATTAGCATTATGGGCCTGGGGTGAGGCTTTGTAATTGTTGTAATAATAATAATAATAACAACATCATGTACAGCAACAACAACAACAACAACAACAACAATAATAATAATAATAGCACCTCTTCATTGTAGCAGGAAAAAATCATTGAATAATTAACATTGCACAATCCCTCTTTATTCTCCTGCTTTCCTCAGTGCAGATACTGGTGTCACTTGTGCAAAATAGAGGACAAGCAGCTGTCTCTCAGAAGAAAAGAGATAACATATATGAGCATACTTGCAAACCTAGCCAGAAATGAAACATCTGGATAATTGACAACATTTACATTCACACAAAAATTGAAGCTGCCTATCTGAGATGTGTATGGTGCTTGTCCAAACATCTCAGCATTGATAACAGGACCTTTTTCCTGTTTCTTTCCATGCTTTTTACCAATTAGCTAGGGACAGTACAATATTTTTTTGATTTTCTCCTTTTTATATCCTAGCTGAAGTCAGGGGAAACAGCTGCCAACATTGCCAGAGAGCTTGCAGAGCAAACGAAAAACCATTTGAATGCTGGTGACATCACGTATTCAGTGCGCGCCATGGACCAGCTGGTGGGCTTACTTGATGTGCAGCTCCGAAACCTGACACCAGGCGGGAAAGATAGTGCTGCACGTAGCTTAAACAAGGTAAGAAACAAGTGCCTTTGGAAGGAAGAATCGACTAAGTAAAGGCTTTTTTTCTTGGTAATGGTTAAGAGGCCTCACTCTAAAGTATTCAAGAGTGCTTCTGGTATTGGGAAATGTATACACGTAAATATTTAGCTAATTGAACATCATGAACCTGATCCCATTTTCAGTTACTACCCATGAGTGCAGCTCCATAATAACTCTGCTAAAGCTGCCAGAATTACTTGGGATTTATACTCCTGCAACTGAGAGCAGAATTTTGCCCGGTGATTTTATTGCTGGATCCGTTTATGAAGTGATGGTTCTTTATAAGTGAGGGAATTGACATTTTCAGTTGAGAGAGTCTTAGCAGTTGGGACTTTGGTTCAGCATCTCATAGAGATTTGTGGGATGTACTTATAAAAGTATAAAATACCCCTTGGATCCAGACACTTTCAAGTTCTGAGATATTAATGATCCAAAATCTTAACCTCTCAGTTGTGTTCAACAAACATGGGAAAATAAAAGAAGTGACTAATAAATTCATACCAAAGATATGCAAGGTGGATCAGCATCTGAGAGTTCTTGTTCTTCTTGTTCTTCTTCTTGTTCTTCTTCTTCTTCATGTTCTTCTTCCTCCTTCTTCCTTTCTTCTTCTTCCTATTGCTATTACTATCTATGATTCATTCCAAGAATACTTCTTGCTTTGTTAAATTATTATATGTTTCCTATGATGCCCAGATAGGAGAGATTTCTCATTATTATCAACATCCTGAAAACTGGGTGTAGCCAGCAGTTGGCATGTTATAAAAGCTAAAAGTTGGCAATAATGGTCTGAAACCTCATCTGTGAAAATCATACAGTAAATTTGTTCTGTTACAGTGAAATTCTCTGAGCTGGGAATCAGCCTAATCCCCTGTGCATCACCTACAGTAGTGACCTCAAAATTGAACCTCTGTGAGATTCAAATAGTGGGTCCTATAAGCCTGCACCAGCTCTAAACAAACCACTAGTAGATGCACAATTCTGTAGGCTGTACTGTTTAAATAAGGTACCAAATTCTGTTCTCAGTTACACTTCTGGCTTTAATGGCACCAGCATCTCTGTAACTGAGAGCAGAACTTGGTCCCAAGGTGGTTTTAAGGTTACATGAGTGGGGAAAAAACCCCAGCTAACACTAGTAATTCATTGTGTTTAATGTCACTTGGGATGGCAAAATAAATAATTCTCTGGAAGTAAAGTTATCTTCTTGATGTACAGTATTATTGCCGACTTAAACATAAAGGATCTTTTGCATTGTATTACAAAAAAAATAAAGAAATGGGAGTGGGAGCCCTGTGTATACTACGTTTTGCATGTGCTATGAACTGGGTAATCTTGATGCTATTAATTAATATTGCTTCAAGCTATTTTATAACCATGCAGGTAGAAATTGTATTAACTGTTGCATTGACATAACCTTATTTAATACAGCCCCACTGCAAATCTTTATATAAAATAATGTTGATATCTGACAACATCGGGTAAAGCTGGCAATTAATGTCACATACTAACTGGACACATGAATCTAGTCTGCTTGCTATTCTGAGTATTTCATGGTGACACACAACATTTATATTTAATCCTTTTATATTTCACCTTCTGACATTTATCTGTTTCTCTGAAATTTGGTAGCATCATTGGGGCACTTGGAGGCAATGGAGAAAAAAAAATAGTTAGACAGTATGTTGTT